GCTGAGTGAAGTGAGCAGAACCAGAAGAACATTGTACACAGTAACAGCAACACTGAGCTATGATCAACTTTGACAGATTTAGTTCTTCTTAGAAATGCAAGGCTCTAAGACATTTCTAAGTCTCATGATGGAAAATTCTATCCACACCCAGAAAAAGAACTGTGGAGTCTGAATGCAAATCAAAGCATACTATTTGCTTTTTTTGGGTTTCTTCTCTTTTCTCCCATTGGTTCTGATTCTTCTTTACAACATGACTAATATGAAAATATGTTTAAGAGGAATGTATATATAGAGCCTATATCAGATTGTACACTGTCTTGGGGAATGTGGAGGGGAGAAAATTTAGAACTCAAGCATATGGAAGTGAATGTTGAAAATTAAAAATAAATAAATACATTAAAAAAAAGTTGTTTGCCCAGGGTCACATGGCTAGTATGTGGCAGTGACAGGACTCCAACCATGGACTTCCTGATTGTAAGGTTAAGTCTTTATCCACAATGCAGCACTGTCTCTAACTTATTTGTGATGAGATATTCTCAAATATCTAGGGAATAAGAGCTTTCTTGAGCATGTATTTAAAAATGATAAATGTGTACTTAGGGTATTAAGGATAGCTAAATATGAAAGGAAAGTAACTAATGATGCAATGTAAGTGGATCCTATGGACTGATTATTGCTTGTGTACTTTTGAGTTAGGGTACAGAGAGACAGGATGAATGATTATCAATTTTTATAAACTACAGTATTTATGATGTAATATTTATTGAACTCCACCCATTAAAATATGAAACTAAATTCAAAAGGAAATTCCATTTTTTCCTATTGTCAAAAGGGTTAATGGTGTAAATTAAAGTGAAAATATTGACTCAAGCTACATGCAAAAGAGGAGAAGAAATATCAAATGATTCAAACTAAACTTAACACATGTTAACATTATCAAGAACATGATACAATATAAAACAATGTACGGGATAAGTAAGAGAATGGCCTAAAAACGAAAATAAACTACCTAATTATGAAAATTCTTTGGTAAGAAAAAAAGAGTGGAATGATAGCTAGTAAAAACCTTTTTTGCAAAAAACAATTTTCTTTGGTTCTCATATAATTTTATCTTTTGTGATATCCCATGAATAACTTGCAAAGCCTTCTCAGCCAAGCAATTTAAAAGAAACATGAAAAACAAAATTAAGCAGAATTAGTGCAGGAGGTAATATAGCCAAAGACAAAATGATAACTATAGGTATGTTTTATAAAGTATTTTTTGCCTAATTACCACAAAATGGACTACTTTAAACTTCCAAGTAGTGGAAAAGAGAATTGGAGTTGCAGGGTCTCAGCTCTGCTTCTTGTTACTTGTGTAACTCTGGGCAAAAAAAGCACTAACTTCTCAGGACCTTGGTGCCCTCCTTTCTAACATGAGGGACTTGGGATGGATGATTTTTAAAGTTGCTTTTTTCCAGTCCTAAATTATAAGAAATAGTTTAAATGTTCCAGAAAGAAGTGACTGAGTCACTTAAAGTAAACTGACAATAGTACAGAGGTTTGCTGCACAGGATCATAGTCAGCTAGGTGGCACAGTGGATAGAGCTGAGTTCAACTCAGACCTCACACACTCATTAGTTATGTAACCTTGGGGAAATCACCTAACTTCTGTTTGCCTTAATCTGCTGGAGAAGGAAAGGGCAAACTACTCCAACATCCCTGCCAAGAAAACCCCATGGACAATATTGCCATGCCATGGTGTCATGAAGAGTTGGACATGACCGAAAATAACAATCCTTCCTTTTTCCTATCATCCTCCTAATTCCTATCCTCTCCCTTTCATTTGTTCCCTTTCTTAAGGGCAGGTAGGTATGCAGTGGGTAGAGCAATGGGACTGGGGTCAGGAAGATGAATTCCAGTTCAGCCTCAGACACTTACTGTGACCCTGGGCAAGTCACTTAACCCCATTTGCTTAACCACGATGCTACTGAAGTATCTTTGCCAAGAGAACCCCAAAAGAGGTCACGAAGAGTTGGACATAGCTGAAACAACTGAACAACAAAATAAAATCATACTAACAGCCAATGTGCATACATGTCAGCTACAGTACATACTGCTTACCCACTAAGAAGAAACCTGCCATTTTAGCTGCCTAAAAAGAAGTGGAATACTCTATCATGGGAAGGAGAGATTAATGGGTAACACAAAAAAATCAGTGCCACTGATTTGCAAATATTGCTAAAAGTAAGACTATTTTATATATTGGTTCCTTTGTTTTCCAGTTTCTTTAAGTAACCAATTTTTAAAAATTTTATAACTGCATTCATTTCTTGTCTTGAATTAGGAGCTCGAAAATATCTCTCAAATTAGGCAATTTGGCCATACATTTAAAATGACAACACAAAATTTGCTGGATGTAATCAAAAGTACATTTAGAAATATCTTATGTACAGAAAACTCAAATATGGAACTCAAATTCCTATTTTGTTTTGCTTAGACTTTGAAAAAAAAAATTCCAAGTCAAAGTTCAAACTTTCATTTGAATCCTTGTAATAAATGTGTGAATATATATTTACAAAAGGAGAATATGACAGAAAAATAAGCACAGTGGAACAATTTCCACCTTCTTACTACAATGCATCATTTCTATTTTCCTTTACTTGAATGTGAAAAATTTGTACATCCCCAAGAATATATGATACGTTGTACTGACACACACAGTAAGATTTCTTTTTAATAAACACAAAGTATAGCAATTCAAATTGTCATTATTCACATATACAATCAATGTTTCACATATATAATCAGTCCATTTCAAAAATTCCTTTAGAAAAACATCTTGATCCAGTAGGACTGAGCTTTAAAAAATTCAAATACAGTATTCTGTTTCTGTACATTTATGTGCATCTCCCCTCAATATGACCACTAGTGAGTCATTTCATCTTCATTATTCATAGCCAACAGGTAAATCACATTTCATGTCACATGATGTAAGTGCCATCTTTGTAGTACTTCATGGATTCCATCTGTTTTGTCATAGCAAGCACGTCATGAAATCCTGTACTTAGGCCAGACATGTGTTGAAAGTATGCCTCTTTTTCCACCTGAACTGTCAAATTGTTCACTCCAGCATCTTTAAGTACCCCTGTAACCTAAACACGATTACAAGAAAGCGTAAAAGTTTTGAATGAGGAGATGACATATAAGGATGTTAACATTATGTCCTGGCTATTTAATATGGTCTTCTAAGGCCGCCAATAAAGTTTAAAAGACTAAATTAAGTCACATAGGTAAGTCTTTCAATATCTTTTAGACTGTGGTAGTTCTGGAATTCAGGCAGTTGTTCCTTGACTTCCCCCCCTCCTTCCCTGTCTTTAGCTAAAACTACTCAGGAACTTCAGTCTGAGTTATAAAAAAAGTAACCTTTTGTGGTGAGATAATAGCACAGACAGGTTATATTTAGAAAACTGGTGAATTGATGCAGTCAAATAAGCAGAAAGAAAACAATGTTCACAATGACTACAACAATACAAACAAACAAAAAAGCACTGAAACTGAATGCCATGAAATTTTGGCTAAACTTGGTCCCTAAAAAGAGATATAAGATTTTCCATCAGCCCAGAGTTTTGGGGACAAATTGGTTAGTATTCTGGACTTTCCTCTCTCTCCCTTCTTTTTTATTTTTATAAGAGATAGCTCTTTGGAAGGCTGCAGGGGGAAACATACAGTGGGATATGGAGGTGACGTAAAAACAAAACATATCAATAAAATTATTTAAATAAAAAGGAATGGGTGATAATACTAGAACTCCTTAAAACTTTTTAGTATCATATCCATCCTATCTTCCCTATCTCAGAAGAAGAGGTATTAAGAGGCCACCCTTCCTCATCTTTTACAGGGCTACACTCTAACCATTATTAACCTTTCCTTCTCTGCATACACATTCTCTTCTGTGCTAGTTCCTACCTATTTATCTACAAACATGCTCAATTCTAAAAGGGCATTCCCTTGACCCTTCTACCCTAGTTAGCTACCATCTCATCTCTCTTCCCTTTCACAGTCAAATTTCTTGAAAAAGCAGTTTACATTTGATGCCCCCACTTCCTCACTCCTGTAATGAATTGACCTTCTCAAAGGAGAGTTACTGCTCTTTCTCAATGCTCATCATCTTTGGCCTCTCTGACCAGGGGCTATTGGCCACTGCTGACCAGCCCCTACTACGGCAGTTTCTCCTCCCTTGGACTTCAAGATTCCATATACCTCTTACCTTTCTCCTACCTCTCTAATTACTCTTCATTTTATTTTTTTTAACAGCCCCATTAAAACAGATATTACCTTAAATTTTCTTCTTGGCCTTTTTTCTCAACATTTTTGTTTGGCAATTTCATTTATTCTCACAGCTTCAGCTATCCAATGAGTCCAATGACTCCAGAACCAGTGCTCTTTCCACTATACTTTGATATCTCCTAAACTTTCTCAAAGGCCTTCCTACCTTCATTCTCTCCAACTTCAAATCTATCTTTCACACTTGTTAAATAACTAATTTTTTTGTGCACTGTCTGGTCATATGATAGCTCCGCGGTTTTCAGCTGAGTAAAGTTCAAACTCCTGGCAACAAAGACTCTTTCTACTCCCCTTCATGTTCCATCTTAACCGGAAACGTCACTATTCTCAGGATAGCAGGGAAAGCATCTTGTCTAAATGCCACCCCCCCCTTCTCTCTCTGTCCTTAATGAAAGTCTGCTGAACTGAAGGGGAAAAAAAAACCTTCCTACTCAGAACGTGACTTATTAGAATTAATATTAATTAAAAAAAAAAACATTTAGGTTAATGCATATGGAGAAATCTCAATGACACATTGACTTTTAAAGTGGAGGGGAGTGTGTTATCAACTTCCAATGATGTAAACCTGGAACAGGCACACAGCAAGAACTATGGCCTGCTCATTCTCAAGACACAGACTTTCTATACTGTACATTGTCATTATACTAGTTCATAAAAAATTTAGCATTCTGTCACTGTCATGCCTTATTTATCTAATATCACTGGAGTGAATTGTCCAGATAAAAGAAATTTTTGTCCCTCTAAACATTAACTTTCAAAATATCTTGGCCATATTTAATGGAAATCTCTGAAATACAAAATATCTCTAAATATATTAATATAGAATTTAAACTTTTATTTTGACAATATTAACACAACGAACATCAGCTGAAGTCCTCAGCTATGTACTTCAGAATGTCAGTTTCAGCTCTTAATCATCCCTCCACTGTCAACTGTCACTTCCTGCTATTACTATCACTTTCTAAATTTGCTTTTAATCTGTTAGAAAGCCAGGTAACCAAAATCATACGAATTACATGTAAAAATGGACTTTCATGAAAAGTCTTTCCTGTAAAGTGATGTGACTACTTTTTTTGTCACTTTGGAGGGTGATTACTATTTTAGCAATGTTAAAACCCTTTTAAAATTTAACTTATTTCCAGATTTGTGACTGTTTTAGAAAGCTACAGCTACCAGAAATCTGACCTACATAGAAATGGGATATTACTGTATCATCAGCTCAGAATATAAAAATGTAGGAGTCCTTAGAGAAGTCTAACTCTCTCATATACAGACAAGGAAAATGAAGCTCAGACATGAAACAACTTGCCCAAAGTCACAGAGCCAGCTAGCGGCAAAGCCAGGATGCAAACTTGACCCTCTTGATAGGGTATTTTTTTCTGCTACACTAATATATTGCTTTCTAATTTTCTCATGTATATACTTCTCATCTTTCCAACAGGGTACTGAATTTCTTTAAACAGGGCTTTGTCTCTTACTTCTTTAGTCTATTCCTGTAATGTCTATCAGTGTTGAGCCCACTGACAGCACCAAAGACACCTTGTGTATTCATTTCTTGTCTCTCCATACGACTTCACTTGGTGATCTCAATAGCTCCAATGAATTCAATGATCATCTCTATGCTGATGATGTTCAAATCTCCTTGCCCAGCCCTAACCCCTCTCTACTCTTCAGATTTCACTCTCTAATTGACTACTGCACATCTCAAACTAGATCTTAAGACATCTTTGAGACATCTTAAGTCTCAAACTTTTTCCCCCCCTTCCAACTTCCCTATTACTTCCAAGGGCACCACTACCCTCCCAGGCACCCAGGCTTATAATTTAGTTGTCATCCTTGACTCCTCTTTCTCACTCACCCTCCAGCCATATCCAATTTGTTCCAAAGGCTGGTCTATTTTATTTTCATAACATCTCTCCTATGTACCTTTCTCTCTAACTCTGGTGCAGGTCCTCATCACCCCTCATGCCTTGACTCCTGCAAGAACTGTGAGCTGGCCAACATGCCACAGATCTCTTCCAACTCCAGTCCAACTTCTATTCAATTGTCAAAGGGATCTTCCTAAAGCACAGGTCTGATGACATAACTCCCTTAATTAATAAACTCTAATGGATCCTGATCATATTTAAGACCAAACATAAAATTCTCTCTTTGGGATTCAGTGTTCTTCATAATCTAGCCCTCTATCCCCAAACTTTCCACGCCTCTAACACCTTATACCTACCCACCCTATGGCCTACGATCCAGTGACACTGGCCTCCACGTTGTTCTGTGCACAAGATCCTCCATCTCCTGACTGGGCATTTTCACTGGCCTGGAATTTTCTTCCTCCTCATCTCTGTGTCCTGGTTTCCTTCAGCTTACAGCGAAAATCCCACCTTCTACAAGTAGCCTTAATTCTACTGCATTCCCTCTGTGATTAGCTCCAATTTCTTCTGTAGATAACTTGTTTGTATATAGTTGTTTGCATGTTGTCTCCAATAAACTGAGAACTGTTTGAGAGTAGGGACTATCTTCTGTCTTTCTCGGCACTTAGCACAGTGCCTGGAACAAAGTAGGTGCTTAATATATGTTTACTGACAGAATGACACTGAGTTAACTGGCTATTCAATTAGTTATAATCAACATTTTGTTAATGAGCTGAGTTTACTAAAGCAGGGGCAGATAATCAAAATAGGTGGCTAACAATGAATTTGGGAGAGGGCCAAAGGTTAAACTACTGAAAAACCTACCATGCAAAAATGTCAGTGCCCCCCTTCTCCCCTCCTACCTGGTCTGAAACTTTAATCACTAGAATAACTCCTTTGGATTAGATGGAAATAGAGGAACACTGGAAGGGCCTCTAGCTTTCTTTTATAAGCAACAGCATGACAAATTACCCAAGTATCATCTTGGGGGACACAGAGTCTGGCCCTGAGATAAGATATAGGACAGATAAGTTTCACTGGCATGGAAAGTATAGCAGAGACTAGTCTCAGATGTGGTTGCCCACTGGTAGTTTTGAGGACAGAAGGCAGGTTGCAGGTATATGGGAGGTACAGGTCGGGGGAATACTTACTGTCACTTTTTGTTTGTAGGGTAAGCTGTTCCTTAAAACATGGTGCTAACAAGAACACTGAAATAATGCCAGTCTACTTTTTAACCATTAATTGTACCTCTCACTCAGGCTTATCATCTAACAAATTGGCCCATAATATCAACAGGGAATGAGTGAGACTAGATTAATGGATCAGTACAAATATATCCTCACTGCACTTGAAAGTTTTATTGATGGTAGGACCAACAGACTAACTTCAATTCTAAAGAGGCAGTGGGAAGAGAAGATTTTGGTATTTTTTGAGTTTATGTAAATGATTCACATAGACTTTACTACTACTAATTTAATATAATATGTTCCAATGAGTAACTGACATAGCAAATGGAAATTTATTACCAAAGGGAGGACTCTGGACTCCAGGGTAGGGAGGGTAAAGGTGGGAAAATATCTTCCATAGTTAAGTGAACACCAAAAATACACCTGCTGATTAAAATGTATGAAAAAACCCTAACAGTTCTAATCTACTTTCTCAGATTAAAACAACTAATTGTTTTAAATTTTTAAAATTTGTGCTTATGATTGTCACTATGTAGTAGTGTATTCATAAATAAACAATTATGTAATGGTCTGATTTTGATGGCCTATACTAGATAGGCAGGCTAAGAAATCACAGCTAATCCCGTGCTGAAATTGTTATTCAGCCTATCAATTTCTATGCATGTGGTATTAAAACTTAATATTTAATTTATGACTTTTTAATTAAAAGGCATATTCTAGGGCCCAATGACAGTCTTAAAGCCTGTGTGTAGCCAACTATCTAGACAGGCATAACTTCTTTTCACCTTCTAGAAGCTGCACATGACCCACATTACTCTACTTTGAACAAAGAGGGACCACACATTTTTAATATTATCTGGGTTTATACAAGATGCCTAAAATTCCCTGGAACTTCATGCAGCACACTTTCTCAATAAGCCTGTCAGAGGAGGGATTGCCAGTAGCTTCTCAATTGTATAGTCATGTAATTGGAAGCAGTTCACTGTTTTTTCTTTGTTCCATCTTGGAAATGTCTTTATCAACTATTGAGGTCAATGAGGATTAGAAAATTCTGAATAAATTGCAAATGATAGATTTGGAATGCTTTGAATATGTATTAGCTGGTTACAGATGCCTAGAAATAAGCTTAGGCCAAGTGACTCCTTTGGAAAGCTATTCTGATATTTTTGAATAGGGTTACAAGTTCTTAAAATGTTTTACCTGTTGTACAATCCGCTGTTCTAGTACATCTGACATCACCTGTATGTGAATCGTACCAGCAACAACACTGGCAGAATGACGCCAAAAATGAGGGTCTCTGTAGGATATTAAACCTTCAATTTTCTGAATCTGCCAAATTGGAAAAAGGTAGCAATAAATATTTTTCATCTGTCAGAAATGAAAATAAATACAGTAGCACATAGCACACACTGATTTAGTTATTAATTTGTCTGTCACCTAGTAATCCCTGGTCCAGGAAAAGTTATTTCATTGAACACCTTTGAATATTTCTAGAGAGGCTGGGAGTTCTTTACTCAGAGGAGGAAAGAACAAAGGGGATAACTAGCAAGAGAGAAAGGTAGTCCAAATGTAAAAACCACAACTTTATCCTTACATATAAATAGCATCAGAACACTGAAAATAGTTAATTGGAAAATGGGTCATAGTGGCTGTCATATCCAGGTTTCTGAATCACTGTTGGTACACAAACAATAGCATTTATCCCATGAAGTGTGACACACAATATTGGTCACCAGATAGAGCCTATACCAAGATAAACTCCAACATACTCCTAAAACACTGAGATATGCTAATATATTTCCACCTAATCAATGCTTCCATACCCTTCTTCAGATTCACACGTATAATGATATATGGACATGCAAACACTCCCCTTTTACCATTCTATACAAAAAAAAAACCTCCCATCATTTAGAAATATTCATCATTCACCTACAATTTTTGTACTTCTAGTATAAATATACACAGGCAAAAAACTAAGTGGATAGTTTCAGAGAAACCTGGGAAGACTTACATGGATTGAGGCACGGTAAAGTGAGTTGAATCAGGAGAATACAAAAACAACAGTCTAAATAAAAAACACTAAAAGGCTAAAGAACTCCAATTAATGAAATAAACAATGATTCCAGAAAACAAACGATAATGTATGTTCCCTATATCCTGACAGAGAGATGATGGACTAAAGAAGCAGAATGACTGGATATAGTCAATGTGGGGATTTGTTTTGCTTGACTATGCATATTTTTTTATGAGGGCTGAGGTTCCCCTCCCCCCCATTAGAGAAAAGGCAGGGAGAGAAAATAAATGCTTAAATGAAAAAAAAAATTAAATTAAAAAAAATATATATCCAAAGAAGCAGTTTTTAATCATATAGATCAAATCTTTCAGTCAAATTTTTGCAAACCACAATGTTTTTAAAATTCCAGTGAAGAGAGGATTTATACAGTTTTAACTGCTCCTCGTTAATATACAAAGAAAAATTTGAGTGATCACACATAATATGTAGAAGTTCAAAGCCCACCTTTTCTAATGCAACGTTTATTTCTTTTTCATTCTCTGGTGGCAGCCTTAGAAGTAGCACTTGGCAGGCATCTTTAATCAGTGGAATAACACTGAGAAAAATTAATACAGCAATAAAAAGAGAGCAGAGAGGATCAGCAAAGAACCATCCAAATTGTTCTATAAGAATTGTGGATACAATTACACCAATACTGCCAAGTGTGTCTGCCAAAATGTGTAAAAACACACCTGTGAATAAAACATAAACAATTTTAAACACACACAAACACGTGTGTATGTGTGTGTATATATATGCATGTATATATATACATATACATAAAAAAACATTTATCCAAATCACTTATAGGGCATAATTAGAATTCAAAAACTTCAAGAATATTCATACATATATTAAAATTACGCTTAAAAGTTTACACATTTGTGTAGTGTAGTGAAATTATAAAACAGCATATATAAAACACAGTCTTTTATTCTTGCTTCTATGAAGATGGCTGTATATTTATAATATAAATTATTTAAAAATCAGAAGTCATACAATTTATTTTTCCTAGTTATCTCCTGATACCTATGTACTTTTATACTTCTTTCTTCTCCCCAATCATGTTACATTTTCATGTAAAACCCAAATAATCATATCATTTTTCTCTTTAGGATTCCCTAATTTCATTGCTATGAGGAAAAAAAACACTTAAATTTACTATTAATTCTAAGATGTGATCATGAGCTTAATTGCACATATTTAACTCAACAGATAAATAGCTTATCAGAAACAGAGTTTTCCTACACTAAAATGGTCACTGAACACTCTGATATTTGAATTAAAATGCTAGAATATATAGGTTGGGGGTGGGGGAGTTGGGAGCGGTGGCACTTATTATTCCCAGGATAAAAGGGGCCTGTGGAAATTCTGAAGCAAAACGGAGGCAATTAAGCCGATTAAGATACTTTAAAAGCACCATACAAGTAATTTTAGCACATAATTTCATCACATACACAGACACACACCCCTTCACTTATATAGGGAACTCCCAGGGCAGAAACTCTACATATGCAGAAAAGGAAATCATTTATAATTTCAGTCTTAAAGAGAGGCACATGGAGAGGTTAAATGACTTGTCTATGATCACATAGCTATTATGTGTCAGAAGTAGGAATTAAATCTGGGCATTTCTGATTCCAAGGCTAGCCCTCTATCCATTTGTTATTTGTTATTTTAAAGGGATAATTGTCATGGAATTCTGCCTAACCATATTATACTAAAAGTTGCAGGGAATAGCTTGAGAAATTCTGCTCCAAGTTAGATTGATTTTAATGTTTATTCTCCTTGACCTCTCTGCAATGTCTGACACTAGCCAACCAATTTGAAATTCTTCTCCTCTGGCATTCCTAACTTAAGACTTAGTATGATTCTTTTCTGTCATTTTCTTCTCTTATTCCATCCCCTGTGTCTCAATCCTTGGTACTTAGCTTTTTTTTTTTATTAGCTCTCTAGAGGCAGCTGGGTGGCTCAGTGGGCCTGAGGACTAGGCTTGGAGATTAGAAGACCTAAGTTCCTATCTGACCCCTGATATTTACTAGCTGTGTATTCCTAGACAAGCCACTTAACTGTTGCTACCACAGTTTCCCTATCTATGAAACAGGGATAATAACAGCACCTTTTTCCCAAGGTTGTTCAAAGTGCTGAGCAAAGTGCTTGGCACATAGTAGGTGCTAAATAATTTCCCCCCCCTTCCTTTCCTCCTTCCTCTGAAAAACACATCCATTTGCATTACTCAGACACTGAAATCTTGATATAATGTACCCTGATTAACAAAGAACTCAACATAGCTAATGTCTTCACTGGACTTCCAATCCAATGGCATTTCTTTAAAAAAAAAAAACAAAAAACCTTTCAGAAAGCACAATGATCTCTTTCCTCCCGTGAGAGGGATGGCATTCCTTTTTTTTTTTTTGGCTAGGCAATGGGGTTAAGTGATTTGCCCAGGGTCACACGGCTAATAAGTGTTATGTGTCTGAGGCCGGATTTGAACTCAGGTCCTCCTGAATCCAGGGCTGGTGCTCTATGCACTGAGCCACCTAGCTGCCCTGAGGGACGGCATTCTTACACAGTCTTGCATGGCATAACTTTTCAACTTTCTCTTATGAAAGAGCTTCAAGACTTTGCATGCCATTACCAGAACTTTTCAATGTAAAGAGTTACAGAATCCCCACTATGTGTTCTTTGTCTGGAGGTTCTCTTTCCTGGTAGAATGTGTTATTTTTCTGAATAGGTAGTTTTGGTGGGTATATTCCAGGATATCCTTTATTTCTACAATTAATTCACTTAATTACTAAACATCATATTTACAGACTACCTAGCCAGCACTTACCTCTCATGTTAGCATTCATGCCTCCTCCTGAAGATCCATGGGAGTGTCCGTGGCTGTGACTGTGCCCATGATCACTGTGAGAATGATTGTGTCCATGACTGTGTCCATGGTGTGAATGGCTGTGATCGTGTGAGTGACAGCCTCCTTGAGAAGCTCCATGGACATGGCCATGAGCATGGCTAAAGGCACAGACACCAATAAGGTTTACTATCAGCCCTCCAACTGAGACAGGCTATTAAAAGGGAGAAAAGAAAATCTAACTTCACTATTTTTCCTATCATGCAAGGTTAAACTTCTTACTACAAAATTACCATGTGCACAATTTTTTTTTGTTAAGAGTATAAAAATATTTACAGTACAAATCTCACTAAAATTATTCACCTTGGAGAGGGTTAACCTGAATTAGCAAGAAGTCTAAATTTTAGAAAATTTTTAATGAAATGATGTTCTATTACTTCCAAGTACATAAAGTAACAAAGTAATGATCTTGAAAATATCATAGAAGAGAGTTTCTGCTGAATCTGCTTTAATGAACAGATAAAAAAATAATTCACATTTGGCTTATACTTTAAAGAAGCCACTGATAAGAACAAAGTCCCTATATATGCCAAAATATTTACGGCAGCACTTTCCACAGGTACTACACAATATATATATGTTTTCAGACATTTTCAAATGTATTGGTCAGTTGTGTTGTTTTTTTCCCCTTTTCTTATTAGATTTATACCAGAAAATATGAATAAACAATTTTTTTCTCTTAACATACATTCTAAATCTGTCATCTGAAAAATTAGGTTCAGCTTACACAGGACAAAATAAGATATGCCGCATCATTATCTTTTTTACTAGTTAAGGATAATTATGAATAATAGAAGGTACAGCCTATTTTCCTAAAATATATTGCCATTACTTCCATTGCAAGTTCTGGACCACTCATGAAAAGTTACTTTTTTTTTTTAAGCAGCAGTATATAATCTGACATGTTAACTAGTTCTAAGAAAACATGATATTACAGGTAACAGATAATTCCATAAATGGGCAAATGGATGAATATCACGGTAGGATTTTGTAACATTAGGTGTGATTTGGTTAAAATATATTAATGAAATTAGGGCAATATTATGTAGGGCACACTTATGATGACAAAAAGGTAATATACTGTTAGAAAAATAACTTTTCAATTTTAATTATGAGATGATATTATATAATTACATAGTAAAATCATAACTAGCAGTAGACACTTTCAGCTCAATAATCTAGAAGTATGCTGAAAGACATAATCAAACCCTTTATTCTGATGATCTCATTATTGGAATAAATAGAAGAAGTAAAAATGATAGCAAAAACAATCATTTTCGGAAAGAAACTAACCAGAACATTCCCTTTCCTCATGCTCAATTTATCCAAGAGGCAAATCATAAAAGAAACCCAAAATATACACATTAAGATCCTGTGTCTATGGTACATTATATCATAAGATACTTTATAACTGACATTCAGAATGATTACTATGAAACACCCAATCCGAAAAAGATTGAATTATATTATGCTTACTACAGGAGAAAAAGTACAGTAGTTTAAAAAAATGACACAGAAGACTGGAAGACTATCAGAAACCTTATGCCTATATATCATGAATGTTTTTTAAAAGAAGAGAGTGCTGCATACATTGAATATCAAACACTACCGCAAAGCCTGACTATATCATAATTGACTATATCGTAATAGAAAGTACATGATTCATTACTGACACGAGAATCATTTCAGAATCAGCTCTATTCAATCAATCATTGATAGTCAATTCAGTCACTGACTCACACATAAGTCAAAATCAATATCAAATTAGAAGACATCCTACAGAAAGCACGGAGTGAGATCCAACTAAGCCAGATCAATTCAACAGCATGGCACCTACAGATGGAACTGGAAGGATGACAAAAAGATACAAACTGAAATGGATATGCTTATGTTTCCATAGTGATAAAAACGAAGAGACAGTATTAAAGAAGGTATCAACACCAAAAAAAACCCTTAAAAAAAAACAAACAAACTAGACCTGTAATTTCTTAGATTTGGGGTCTTTGATTAGAAAACTCCCTCTACTAAAGCATCATCAACAACTGTTCTACAGCTTAGACTCTTAGAGGTACCTAAGGCAATAAGTGATTAAGTAACTGGATCAGGGCCTCTGTTTATAAGAGAACCTTAAGAGATGAAAAATAGTTGTTACAGTAAGAAGGCCAAAGGAACCCAGAAACTACCTCAGGCAGCAAAACCCGATCTCCTTGTCAAGATTGGTAGCCAAGGGTAATGGCAGTTTAAAATAGGAGCTCATTTGCAAAAGGCTCGAAGAAGATCACAATTAGTATTACCTTACAAAATGATGAAAAGCATTAGAGATGAAGACAAATCTGCAGAAAAGGTTGGCATGAGATTCAACTTAGCTAGATCTTTCCAAAAGCATCTGCGGATAAAACCTGGAGGAAGCTAAGTAGATACAAAATGTTTCTATAGCTGGAAAAGCATCAGTGATAATACAAGCATCAATGAGAGTGGAACCCACCATACTTGCACTCTAACACCTGGAGGAGATGAAACTGGGAAGAGCAGCTGAACCTGAGCAAGTATGTGAAGAAATCTGTCTAGAAATGATATAATTTAAAGCAATGAGAGAGTGATTTTTAAGAGAGCTCAAAGACAGAAAAATATTCCCCACAAAAAAAAAATCTATGTAATATTATTCCCCATATCACCAACAAAAAGGGCTCCAGAGAAGCCACTGTGTTATTAACCCATATATTCCTACTGTGTGAGAATAGTCTATTAAAAGTATCCTTGATGAAAATCTAAAAAAGGAAGAGAGGCAGGTCTTGTGCCACATCTTTAAAGTCCCATAAAGGGATTGACAGATACAGAGAATACAACAGACTACACTGTTTATTGTTTGTTGATTACCACATGACCAAGGGGTAAAATGCAGCCTTATATACTCTCTTCCAATAAAGTGTCTCCTACACATGTTAAAGTCATACAAAACTCCTTGATAGACTCATAAAGATGACTCTCTACGATTATCTTTTGATTACATCAAATGAGGCATAAAATAATTGTATGTTTTGCCAAGGTTATGCAAAACCAAAATGGAAAAATGACAAGATTCCTTCACTGCTCATGACATAGTGGTAACTGCATCAATACCAAGAATAAAATGGTGCCATCTCACAGTGAAAGTGAGTTTTTTAGAAGAGATATGCTAATAATCAACAAGAAAAAAAATGAAGTGAAGAATGTGTTCTTGCTAGATTATGACATTCAATTCAAATGACAATCAGTATGTTCATCGTGGATAGGTCCTCCAGATTAACAACAAGCTGGAACCAGAATTAAACTGAAGGAAGAGATTGGGTGGATGCATTTGGGAAACTACGCAGCACTTTCAAGGACTAAAAACTCCTTTAGGAAACAAAACTCCATCTTTTTAACACAGATGTTCTTCTAGTGGTGCTATATGGCTGCAAACCATGAAATCTCACAGTATCTGAAAAATCAAGAGTGATTATTTCTCACTATGTCACTCAAACTCTTTAGCTCTCATCCCTTGAATGATTTAGCAAGAAACAGTCTCAAAACTGCACTGGTGTGCATAAAATGTTATAAAAATCCATAGGAAAGCTGTTAGGTCTTTCTTTAGTTAGATTCTCTTTGGAGAGCTACAGGGGAAGGGCACAAAAATAATCTGCCTGGGACTAGTGAATACTCAAATTAAATCATGGATCAACTGAAGTATTAAACTGAAAATATGTTTAAACTGCAGATTTGGTAAGTCAGAAGAATAAAGTACTACCTACAGATTCATTGTGTTACCTCAAATATATTAGCAGAGATTACTTTAAAAAGTTATGAATATATACTAATATAGAAAATTACACCAATAAAAATACATTATTCTCACATCAATGACTGTAAAGTTTTGGTTTTAGCATGGAAAAATATTTTAATCATTATGCAAATAGGAAATTCAGAAGTAAATTAAAAACACTTACCGCTAACATGTATGTATCTAATTCTGGAGGATCTATCAATCTAGCCACTGATTCCACAAACAAAAAGAAAGCTATTACCATCAGAAAAAGTCCATTAATAAAACCAGAGAGAATTTCTATTCTGCCATACCTGAAAGAGAATAGTGCATTTTTTTTAAAAAAGGAAAGGACTAAAAAATAAGATAGACAAATTTTAACAGTGCAAATAACTGACAACACATTTTAATGTACTTTTCTTTTAAGGTTTTATTTAACAAGAATATTCTTATATTGACAAATGTAGAAACTTAAATTGAGACTGCCGGGGTAGTTTATAATTAATGAGAATGGGAAGAGAAACAAGGTTTTAAAATACCTTATCCACTTTCTCAATGAAACAGCATCCCTTATATGCAACATTTTCAAATACTGAAAACTTTCCTTAATATCAAAAATAGTATCATCTTGTATAACACTGATTTGCACATGATATTTTAATGTGTTGTACTGTACTGATTCGTACTGTGTACTAGTTTCTGTTGTACGGTGCAGGCTAAGACTTTCAGGTTCATAGTATAAGAGACAGGAAACAATTTTAAGAGGTCATTTAGTCTTGCTCTCTGCCTATACAGAAGTGAATGTTCCAACTGGTTATGGATTCTATTTTCAATACTCTCCATAGATGATTCCAGAATAACTTCTGATAGTCTAATCTAGTGGTTATTTGCTTAGGAAATCAACATTGTCCTCCTGTCTACCCAAACTCTCAAGTCCATTTTCTCTTGTTTAATCCCCTAAGAAGGTACTGAGTCAGCATCCTTACTAAAATATCTCTTTAAAAATCTGCTCTAAATACTGGAAAATAGTCCCAAAGAAATTTTTCATGGTCTCCTTTTCTAGGTTAAATCATGTGAATTCTTTTCATCTTTTTTCACTCAGTCAGTCTGCCATCTTTTTATTAGTTCTTATTGCTTCTCTCTGAAAACTTCTCTAGTTTAATCTTTTAAAAAAAAATGTGAAGTCAAAATTAGTTAAAAAACAATAAGTAAAACAGAATAATTAGCACGATTAGCATTCAAGCATAAAAACACATTAATCATAAATAGGGTATCACTGTTGTAAGTCATACCTAGTTAGTTTTAACCCTGGACCCTGGGGATCCAAGGGAGAGAAAGGGGCAAATGAGGTTAAGAGCTGACAGTACCAGGTGAAAAATTGAATTCTAAAGTCACCAACTCTTAGGTGGGTACAAAGACTATGTTATTAGCAGTGGCAAGTTTGAAACTCAGCATCTCCTGACTAATGAGGACTTGCTTTTTCATTCCCTATTCCCTTTTTTAACAAATAGACAATTAGATCTGCTGAGTCACTAAGATTCCTGTCCAAGTGTTCATATTTAATAAGGTTCAGAAGCATCACTTGGACTGAGGTGGTTAGGGAAGGCTTTGAAGAAGAGAAGTGTGGGATTTCGATTAAGACAGGTTGAGTTTGAGATGTCAATAAACATGAAATAGGTCTAAAGTTTGAGGTGTTATCTATATGGAAATCAAAAAATATTTTGCAGAGGATTGTTTCACCTGTCAAAAGCCCATCAAATATATAGTATAAGTACCATATCTCATTCTCTTTAAGTGAACTCTAAACCAGAGGTCATCCAAAGTAATCCTCAAGTTTCCAAATACGATTTAAAATTATTTGGAGGAAGATAATCTGAGATTTTTCAGATTTATAATCTCATGCTGGTGAAAAGTTCAGCACTGAAAAAAAATGAAGTAAAATGGTCAAATTACTGGTGGTGTTCCTACCTTATCTGTTGTAATTTCAAACATTCTCTCTAAGCAGCCACAATAGACTAAATTCTATGTTTAGAAGTACACAGTTAATGTAAGAATTACAAAATTTTCCTTGATGCTTAAAAAAATAGTTATTTGCCTTTAGGTACCACCATAATTTTTTTCATGTTATGCCATCATCTAGATTGATAATAATTTTGTAAAACTAGGAGCCATATACACTAAAACAATGAGATCCTACTAAAGGGCCTAACATGTTCAGTTAAATTTTCCAGAAAACATGTTACTTAAAAGTAGTTTAAGTAGCCAGAGAATTAAATATTTTTTCCTA